GAGGTCGGCGGAGCCGATTATCTGTTGTCCGGTGTGGGAGACAAGGCCATATGGCGCGAGAATGCCGGTGGCCAACCCGTCGCGCCAAACGAAGCACCCCGAGAACCGGCCGTCGGGCGCAGGTGGCGACCGACCGCCGACACTAGCACACCGCCGGGAAACGAGTAAGGGCCGGATGTAGATCCGCAGCCTCCGGCCAGGCGAAGCAGGCACAGTCGTCGGATACCGAAACCACCACGGTCCGTTGCCGACCGTGCAACCTCGACCGTCGCTGGCCACGTAACTGTAATGATTGTACGGGCCGACCCGTCGAGTATTGAAGTGGTCGGACACGGCGCTTGACGCCAGCCCTTTGGACGGGAGTCTACGAAGGGTTTCCTACGGGAAGAACCTTCATTGAAGCCGGTACGCATGACATGTATGATGTACAGGGCGAAAACCGTTGGATCGCTTGGGCAGAGATAGAAGCGAATTTTTTTGCTCGGCGGGGGGAGAAGAGTATGGACAGGATATCCGTTGTAGGCAGAGATGGGGCACGAAGTAGCGGCATATTGGGCATGGACTTCCTCGTTTACCATACACTTGGCCAGGGTGGAACGCTGCTCGCGGCCATCTGAACAGTTGATGGGCGTCCTGCACGCGCCTGCATGGAGAAGAGAAGTTAGGAGCCACGGCCGGGCTGACTGCTGTCCGGCGAGTGATGATTCCCCCGGGGGTGCGGCGCCGTGGTGGACGGTTTCGGTGGCAAACGGCCGTGGAGAAAAGGACAAGCTGGACGATTGGCTGAACCCACGGCCAGGGTTCGACGGGCAGAAGGGCGCGAGGCATCTTGATGGGGAGAGTCAGCGTTGTGGATACCGTTGAAGGGGAGTTCCGCCTATCAGTAGTAACATCGGCCGATGAGATGGTGGTCATAGCACCGGGGAAAGAAACTAGCTCACTAGAGGTGGCGGTGCGAGTGGCACCCGTTAAGCTCGCTCCCCCGCGCTCCAGAACCAGAAGAGATAACTGGTCCCCGCTGCCTCAGCCTCTGGCGGCAGCTTGGTGGAGCATGCTGGATGACCACACTCACCCGTGAGACAACGTGTACGAATTGGCGGAATTCTGCGGAACTCGATCACAGTCGACGTGTGTTGCATGCCTGCGGGAACGCGTTGGGACGCAGCCGACCGTGTGCCCGTCCACACCGATCGACCACCAGGGAAGCCACTACGCCATCCAAGCAGGCCGCGACCGGTAGCCCCGGCTGGCGACGGCCCCAACTACGTCGATGGACGCAGGAGATCGACAACAATGTTGGCTGCCGGCGTCATCATCCCGAGTAGCAGCCCTGGGCGTCGCCGGTCGTCCTATGTGACGCAAGAAGGATGCGCAAA